GCCAGCCCATGAGCAGGAGGCTGACTTGAGTATAAGCCGAGGGGGGCATTTTTCAGCACAAAAAATGTGCTGAAAAACTCGGCTTATACTCGAGTATATACGGGTATGTAAGTCCTGTGCCTATGCTAATGTTGGAGATAGGAGTTGTTACCCTTTTGCGCTAACACATAAAAAGGTATTTTTTTAGCACAGATTAGAGTGAAACTGTTAAGAAATTGTATTTTCTTACTCCATTTAATTTTACAGGCACACACTTGGGTGAAATGCTTATGCACAGTGTTTTTATGTTTCTTGTGTGGTATGTGTGAGGAAGGGGAGGCAAGAAAATGATGCCACCATATCTGGAAAAAGGGGAGGGGTAATGTGAGAAAACATGCTTGGCGAGATGGCAGCTGGCCCAAACCCTTCTTCAAGTCCTCTGCCTCAGCTGTGGTTGGGAGAACTGGAATGATTGATTTTTCAGTTTAAATGTTAGCTGCTCTGCCCTCTTCACCCCCAGGTGTAGCATAAGAGCTATGTTTTTCAGATTGCTGTGACAGACCTGTTTGGGGATCAGATCAGGAATGAGTTTTCCCCACTGGGACAAATTGGCAGAGATCCAGTTTTTCCCCTCCACTCCTGACCCCCCACTTTCCCTGCAATGTTATGTAGACACACTTGGTTTTTAGCAATAGTACTTGAAAATTCAGTACCAATAAGGGTATGACTCTTTAGCTTGTTGCAGCTTCCAGCTGGTGTCTAATGCAGATAAAGTTAAAAAGGTCCAACTCCACGAGGTAAATGGGACCCTAGAATAGGGGTGGAAAATAATTTTTGATGGGGGGCACTCCCAAGATTTTGGAAAGTGGTTGAGGACCTTAATCTTCCATTATATTAATGGAGGAGGTGCGGCGTCTGGGATGAAGCTTGGGGTAAGGGATTGGGGTGCAGGAGGGAGAGTGGGGTCTGGGAGGGAATTTGGGTGAAGGAGGCAGTTGTGACCTAGGGCAGGGGACTGAGGTACAGGGTTTTGGAATGTGACGTAGGGCAGGAGGGAGTTGTGACCTATAGCAGGGGACTGATGAGCAGGGATTTTGAATGTGCCCTAGGGTAGGAGGGGATTGTGATCTGGGACAGGGGATTGGGGTGCCAAATCTGGGAGAGGACATGGGGACAGGAGGGGGGCAGAGATTTGGGGTATCTTGAGTGGGGGGGGTTGAGGGTTGGGGAAGGGAGGGGCTTGGGTGCCAGAGGCAGGCTCTGGCCAGGAGACTTACCGGCCAGGAGACTTACCAGCCAGCAGTCCAACCAGCTTGCCTGCCTGCAGAACGAAATGCTTACAGAGCTTAACATGTTTCTCAGCCAGCCAGCCAGCCAGCCTGCTTGCCTGCCCTGCACCTGCACAGGCTGCAGGGCTATGTGCTTGTGTAAATAACTGAGCCAGAGGGCAGGGCCTGGTGCTTTGTGTGCTACCTATTATTCAAACAGATAGCTCCCATGGGCAGCCTTTCCCCCTCCCCTCCAGGAAAAGTTTTGAAAGAGAAATGGATCCCCAGCCACTTTTCTGAGCAGTGTGTGGAGCTACCGTGCGAGCAGGGGGAGACTGCTTAGGACTCCCTGTTGCGTCCACAGGCTGGATCTGGTGATCTGGCCCATGGGCTTGTATTTTGTCCAGGCCTGCCTTAGAATTCACTGGTGGATCAGGAATGTACTGGAGAATGGGGGACCTGAAGTGTTAACTGACTGAGGTTCCTCCTTGGTTACCTCTACTTCCCCACACTGATGTGGGAGTTCTAGTGATAGGATAAAGAGGAGTCTACTCTGTAACTGGACATAGTTAAATACCTAATGCTCGACAGCAGGGAGTAGGTTGGTAGAACCCCCTCTTAGTGTTAAATTAAAATTGCAGCCTGCTGCTTAATTTGATCCTTGTGGCTGTCATTTGACTACATTTCCTGGTCAACAATGCTAATGTAATTGTTCTGCAGCTGCTATCTCTTTAGACAGACTTACTCATCTGTTTGTGACCCATTGGAGTGCCTCATGAATAGCAATTAACTTGTCTTCATAACATGCCTTTGACATAAGGGAACTTTAGTAGATTCACTTTGCAGGTGGGAAACTGAGGCACAGAGAAATTAAGTAAATTGGCCAAGATCACATAGAAAGTCTTTGTTGGAGTTGCAAGTTTAATCTAGGTCACCAGAGCTCTGGTCCAGTGCTTTAATCATAATACCATCTTTCTTGTGGTTGTAACATAAAATTGTATGTGGTTGGTTTTTTTTTTTCTTTTCTTTTTTAATGCAGTGGTTTGCTGCATGGTTCTCTGATGCTCCAGCGTCCCCCCCTTTCAATTGATTTTGCTTCCTCAGAGAACCATGTTGACTTATGGAAGGCATGGGAAGTGTGTTTATGGGCAATATGTCTGATAATTGTAGTGTACAGGAACTTTCACTTAGAAACTCCACTTTTTAAAAATACCCTGTGAACTTAATTCTCATTTCTGGGAATTAACTTCCAGCATAAGGTTGAGTGGGAACTGCCAAAGTTTTTAAGTGATTTTTTTTTTTTAAAACCTTGAAAGTGCTTCCTGTGTGCATGTGTCATCTGCTAGTACATCTTTAATCCTTAGTTTTCACTATAACTAACTCTTAATGGGAAAACTGCTTGTTGTTCTTACATTTTTTACTCTTGCATTCATGTTCAGTTTAAATGAATAGTCCACTCAGTGACTATTTAAAAACAGAAGATAATAGTGACCAATTATGTTCGGTCAGAAGATCATATCTCAAACAATATTAAGCATAATAACCAGATTTTTATCAGTTTTTGTATGAAGTTTGTCATAAGGTAGACCTGTCTGCAGTGCCATCCTGTAGCACACAATGGCTTGATGTTGAAGTCTGTCTCAAGTTCCTTTTTTAGAGTCCCCCAGAAATAGCTTCTAAAGGCTTTCTAAGTATATCATGTGGATTAGTTTTCAACAAATGTTCTGTGTGCATAAATCATGACTCTAGTTCTTAATTTCCAGCATTGCACAAACAGTACATGCAAGACACGAAGTATAGCCCTGGCGTCTCTCACCACACTCAGGCTCTCTAGTAAATCTGTGGCACCTCTCACCATGCCTCACTCCCAGCCTTCAGGCCTCTGACTTCAGCTTTCTGGCTTAAAGGGTTAGCAGGCTTCTTTCTCTGCTGCTTTCAGCATTCTCTGGCTCAGGAAGGTCAGAAGTAGGGTTGCCAGGTGTCTGGTATTCACCTGGACAGACGGGTATTTTCACCTCCTGTCTGGTTTAAAAAAAAAAAATTCAGAGAATACTGGACACCTGGGATGAATTTTCCCCCGGCCAAGAGGTGAAAATGCTGGGCACCTGGCAACCCTACAAACACTCAGTGCTGTTTTATTTTAATTTTTTTGGCTTAATAAGTCCTTGGAGTCCCTTTCTGGCCCCCCCCCCCGGCCAACAGAATTTTTTCCCGTTTTTTTTAGGGGGGGGCGGGGTGTTTGGTATTTTTGTTTCAACCATCTGGCAACCCTATTCAGAAGCCCCTCCACTGGGTTCTTGACAATTTCACCCTCTTTCCAGGGAGGGCTTGGGGAGAACGCTGCAGCTTTCACCAGAAACCTCCTTTATATGACTCCTTGACTTTTTGTTTTGCAGAGGTGGTATAGTCTCAGACCTGAAGAAGATCTCTGTGTATCTTGAAAGCTTGTCTCTTTCACCAACAGAAGGTGGTCCAGTAAAAGATATTACCTCACCCATGTTGTCTGTCTTTCTGACTGGACCCTAAGTCAGCTGTTCCATTTATATGCTCCAGGTGTCTTCTCTTAAACTCTGTTAGGAGGTGGCTGAGGAGTCACAGGTGCTCTGGTCCTGCTTTCTTTTAAATGGTCAGTGTCATCCTGTGACTTTCATGGAAGTGTTTTTGTCTCTACTTTTTTTTTATTCACCTGAAATTTGAAGATGTTGGAAGATATAGATGTGTATTTGTTTCATGGAATATTTATGCTACCTTTCCTTCCAATTAGGCAGTCAAGATCGAGAAATTATTCAGAGGAAAAAAGAGAAATACAGACAAGAGCTAATGGAGCAGATTGCTGAGCAACAGAAAAATAAGAAACGGTAATGGAAAGTCATTGTAATTTGGACAAATACTTAAATGAAAATTAAAGTGGAGTTACTGATTGTGAAATATATACAACATTTTTTTCTAAAAAAAAGTAAAATTAATTAGCTTATTTATAATGTGAAAAATTTTCATTAAAATTAAACTTACTTGGAAGCTTCTTTACCCTTCAGAAATTTATATTTTAAGTTCCTTTGCTGTTTGGAAATTTTCTCTTTTCCCCATTTTGCCCTTTGTGGTTGTTTATACTGATCTAGACTTCTCTCACTGTCATTTTTTCATACAAGTATATACCCTATAAACCTCTTTAGGGACCACTTTAAATACCTTTTATAGTTTTGATTCCCTCTACTTTATACAGTTTGAATCACTCTAAACCAGGACTCTCTGGTCCAGCAGAACCACAGATGTTCCAGTACCAGAGAGTCCCAATGGAGGGCTGATGGCTGGGAGCCCTGCAGTGGGGCTGGAGCCCAAAAGGAGGGGCTACCCTGTAGCAGTGAAACTGGGAGCCAGGCAATAGAGCTGCCACCCGGTGGTGACACTGCCTACTGGTGCAGCTGGACCCCAACAGCAGGGCTTTCTGATAGCAGGGGTGCCATGGTGGGGCTGGGATCCCTGGGCACAGAGGTGCCAGCGACAGAGGGGGAGCCAACTGGGAGGCTAGCAGCCAGGCTATGTCTGGGGTGCCTGGTGGCAGAGGGGGAGGGGGCAAAATCCCCCCTCTGGGACTAGTCAGATTCTGAGGGTGCTGGACCAGAAAGGTTCAATCTATAGTATCTCTTTTTAGAGACTTAATGAGAACATTTGTTTCTCTGTTAACTTCACTGCCACTTGTTTTTCCTTTGTTTTATAGGTCAGGTTCTCTGACAGAAGTCCAAGTAAATGGGTAGTAGTTGAGTGGCAGGTCCACAAAAACCTTTTTTTTTCCCCGCCTCACATTTGATAAGGAATGTGTGATACTTGTCCCTGTTTTCCAAATTGGAAAAGAAGTCTTTGTCTTTAAAAAGTTTGAGAATTTCTGGCATATGTAGCATAATTAAACATAAGACTTTCTTGCTTCCTTTTGTTTCCTTTTCACATATCTAGACTGTCAGCAAAGAAAGCACAAGTCTTGGTGAAAGGGTAGGGGAAAAAAGTTGCTGTTATCGGAGCTGAGGACATTCATTGTCAGATTGAAAATTGTAGAGGCACACCAAGCCTGGGATCCAAATCTATAATCAATTGCTTGACATTCCTTTGAGTGTGCCAGTTTGGATTTGAATATGTTTTAATAGTCTTTCATATCAAAATTCTGAAAAAAGTTTGCTCTCAAGAAAAATTGGGAAAGATTATAATGAAAAAACAATTCAACAAAAAGCATTTAATTGTTCATATAGCATGAGTCACTGTTGTTATGATTGTGATATTGTCTAAAAATAATAAAACACCAGTATATTCTGCTACATCTGCATTCCATTGGATATAAATGTGATTTTGTTTTTGAATCAGATGAGGTGTTATCTGATGTTAACTTTTCCACAATAAGAAACTCCAGTTATATAGCTAAGTAAAGGTGCATTAGGCCTCTTTTTTTTTTTTTTAAGAGTAAGTTTAGTGAGTCATTCAACAGCTCATTTTCTGACTTCATCTTGTTAATTTTTTTAATAGTGAAAAGGAGCTTGAACTCTCAGTTGCTGCTTCTGGAGCTCTGGACCCAGAAAAGGAGGTAAGAAATTCTAGTATCCACTTTTTATTCAAACAGACCTTTTATTAAATAATGTGTATCATCAGTGAACCATTATACTGAAAGCAGGATTTTATTGTGTGCAAAAGAAGGATCAGAAGGCTACTTTTTTTCCCCATCTCCTTCCCCAGTGTATTGTGGAAGGTTTCTCCCTCCCCCCCCCTAAACTCCTTCTGAAGCATTAACAACAGCCACAGCTGGAGATGAGACATTTTCTGGCTGGTTCTTGCTCAAATGCTCAGAGTCTGATAGTCATTTGTAGAGTCAGAAAAGGAATTTTCCTCTGCTTCTGATTGGCAGTAACTTTGGGGAGTTTTTTCACCTTTCTCTGTATTGTATGGGTGAGTGTCACTTGCCAGAATTATTTGGGTATATCTCACTTAATCATTTCTCTGCCATTGTGTGTCCTTGTGCAGTCGTGTAACTTGGTCCTGCCTGATCTCTGTCTGTAGCATATAATCCCCTGTGGGTTGTAATACTTTGCTTTCAGTTTGGTTGAGGGTGTTACTGTTTCGGTGCTAGGGTAGTGATGGTGGCCTGATATATACACTATGTCAGACTAGATCAAGAGTGGGGAACCTTTTTTAGGTTGGGGGGCCATTGACCCATAGAAAAATCAGTTGGGAGCCGCACACAAGTGAGAAACAAAATGAGAAGTCCCTGACTGAGAAGGAAACAGACTCTCTTCACATTCCCATCATACACCAGAGGTGAGGGGGGCCCAGGCTATTAGATTTTGTATGTTCCAGCCCTGTGTAGGGGGAGTAGCAAGGGGACTGGAGTGCCAGTGCCGACTCCCCAGTATGGGGGAATCCCTGAACCTTGGTGCCCGGATCCAGGCAGACCTGAGATTACCCAACCCTGGACTAGATGACGATCTAGTGGCCTTAGGCTGTAAACCTATGATAAGAAAAATCTCTCTTTTCTAATTGGGCATTAATGACAACAAAAATAAACCTAAGTCTAAGGTATATACGAGAATTGTCAAATCTGCTTAAAGGAAAAAGTTGGAATTGGAATTTTAAGACATTTGGATGAAAGTGGAAATACATGGAATAACATGCTGCATGCAGTGTATATCATGGAGGAGACATATTTAATGTAGGGGTGTAAATAGCCCTTAGGGACATAACCTGAAGTCCCAGGTGCCTTGCTTGGTGAATTGAATTAGCGGATAGTCACGTGCTAATGGATTAAATCTTGATGAAAGTTGGTTGGGACACTACCAATTTAACAACCATTGAAGGTGCAAACAGCTCTCTGTGTTGTATCCTTCCTGACATGGGAGTCTGTCTATTGACTTCAATTTTTATCTGCTTCGGTTTAACTATCTAATCTTCAGATACTTACTGATGCTCTGTCTTTCACCCTCCTTCCTTTTTCTTCCCTCCCCCCTCCTCTTCTCCTATTTATTTCGGGTGTACACATCCCAAACTCATAACTCCGGTAATCTGAAGAAGTGGGCTGTGCCCAGAAAGCTCATGATACCATCTACATGTTTTGTTAGTCTATAAAGTGCTATCAGACCACTTGTTGGTTTTTTTTCCTGTAATAGACTAACTTGGCTACCCCCTGAAGCTTCTAAATATTTGTACTAGATTGGGAGCCCTCTCCAGGGACCAGTTTGCCTCCTGAACAAACAGGAAATGCAACCCATACTCTTCCAGAGCAGACCCAGATTGCCACTCAAAACATGATACTCTGCTCCTTCCATGGTCAGACCATCTGAAATATGCCTTCCCTCCACTCCATTCATGCCTGAAATTTTGTGCCTGATTCTGCAGCTCAGAATATGAGTCATTCTCATTGTCCCAAATTGGCCTAGACAGTTTGGGTTCCTAAAATTCTTACCTATGTCATCTTGGGTACCAATCATTATTCTCCATTTCTCAATCTCATGATCAAGGGAATGGCAAAATCAATCATCCTAATCAATGTCTGCTTTATATCAGAGCCTGTGTTTTTTATGAGTAAGGACTTGAAAATCCAAGGATATCCACTTTATATGCATGGACAGTCACATCCCTGGATGTGGCTGCTGATATCCACTGCTCATTTTTGCAGATACGAATTTGGATACAAATTTTATATCTATAACCCTGCAAATTTTTGGGTATCTGCTTTATATCTGCAGGTATCTACATACAGTAAACTTCCGATAATCCGGCACCTTTGGGATCCAGGGGGTGCCGGATTATTGGATATACCGGAGTATCAGGAGGTACTCCGGAAGGGGGGCTATGAAGGGTCGGGAGGGTGGAGGTGGCGGGGGAAGCCCCGCGCAGCTGCTGGCGACAGGCCAGCTGGGGCTGCAAGCGGCAGCGGTGACTTGGGGAAGCAGCAGAGCAGAGCAGCTGGGATACTGCTGGGTTGGTCCTGTAGCGCCGCCCCTCACCTGAGTGGCGCTGCGGGACCAACCTGGCGGCACCCCAGCTGCTGTGCTCCACCGCTTCCCCAAGTCTGCCGCTCATCAGTTTCAGCAGTGGCAGACTTGGGGAAGCTGAGGGGCAGAGCTGGTGCCGCAGCGCTGCCCCTCCCCCCCCTGCTTGGCGCCCGGCAGCACCCCAGCTGCTCTGCTCCGCAGCTTCCCTAAGTCCGCCGCTCGTCAGTTTCAGCAGTGGTAGCAGCACCGAGCAGAGCTGCTGGGGTGCTGCCTGGCACCAAGCAGGGGGCAGAGGGGTGGTGCTGCGGGACCAACTGGGCAGCACCCCAGCTACTGTGCGCCTCTTCCCCAAGTCTGCCACTGGTCAGCTTCAGCAGCGGCAGCAGCAGACTTGGGGAAGTGGTGCAGAGCAGCTCCAATTTTCCAGGTGGCTGGAGCACTTCCGGGTTCCAGTTGGTGCCGGACTATCGGGAGTGCCGGACCACTGGATGCCGGACAATTGGAGTTTTACTGTATGTGGATTCAGATATCTGCAGATCACTTTTGCAGATGAGGATGCAGATACCAATTTTGTATTCACCAGGGCTCTATTCATGAGCATATTCTTTAGAGAGATCATGTTCTGAAGCTGTATAGAACATCCTTTTCTAACAGTAGGAAGAATTCCACTAGAAAATATTACCTAGCCAAGTGTAAGCAGTTTTTTGTTTGTGAGCATTAAAGATATATAATCCCAGAAGCTGCAGATATTCCTCTCATTCTGGACTATAGTCTTTCCTTAAAAAGAGCAGGTTTGTTCATCATCTTCTTATGGATCCACTGGTAAGCAATCCGTGTATACCATTCACTGTCACAGGGCTACTTGATCTTTGCGCACCCATTGAGTTGCATATTCTGGAAAGGCTTATTAAGAGCCTTTCTACCTATAAATAAGCTTAATTATCAATGGGACCCAGTTCTTTCAGTACTCACTAAGTCTTTCTTTTGAAACATTAGCTTCCTGCCTCTCTTATCTACGAAGGTCACATTCCTGGTAGCCATCATCTGAGCCAGGAGTATTGCTGAGCTTGGGGCACTTATAGTGGTTCCTGCTTATACCATATTTCATCAGGACAAGTTTTATTATGTTTACACCCTAAATTCCTCCCAAAAGTAGTCTCAAAATTTCACATTAGCCTAAACCTTCTACCTGCAGAGAATAAAACCTACGAGGAAGTCTCTTAGACTGGTTTTGTCACCATAACGGAATGAGTTGAGATTCCTCTCAAAGAATCTCAGAATGCATTTCTGACAGTATTTTGCTCTGCAATCAGTTGTCTAATCTTCCCCCTCCATTTGGGATCAGAGCTTATTTTACAAAAGTACAAGCAGCATCTGTGGCATTGCTTCAAGAGGTTACTCTACTTGATAATTTCAAGGCATCAATGTGAAGTTCCATCCATGTTTTTGAGACACTGCTTTGGTAGAGGACTATTCTGCTGAAGAATCTTTTGGAATGGTACTCCTTCGTTTGGCTTTCCTATCTCACATCTTTCTCCTACTTGAGTATTGCTTGTCAGTCATCCACTGTGAAATACACATAGGGACCAGCACTGAAAGAAATAGTGAAAGTTATCTATTTTATAGTAACTGGAGGTTCTTTGAGATGTCTGCATTCCATTACTCACCAGTTTTTCCTTCCATTTTGGATCTTCTCTGATTCATGTTACAGAAGGAACTGGGGAGATGGTTGGTTGGCCCTGTCCTTTATCTTCTCAGTTGGAGGCACAGGTGTAGCACATGTGTGGTCCACTGGACATGGCTTTCAAAATTCTGTGGCTCGGGGCATATGGAGAACATGTATACCCACAATGGAATACAGATAGAGATCATACATCTCAAAGAACCTCTAGTTATAAGGTAAGTAATTAGATTTTGGAGGGTGGGAGAAGAAGTAAGTTGCAACTTCCTGATCTTGGGGCAGATTAGCGAGGCATTTTCCAAAGACACATTGAGGAGCTTAGGATCTAACAGCGAAGGCACAGTCACCACTGAAGTAAAAGAAACATATGAAGTTGATGAAGTGTGTAGGAGAGCAAGGAGTACAGCATGATGCAAGGGCTGCTCAGCACAGGCTGCTTTGGGTTCGTATGCAAATTGCAGGATTTCATTCATACAGCTGCCTAAATGATTACTAACTCTCACCAACAAACCTGTCTTTTAAGAATCAATGGCAAAAAGCTACATTAGTGCAGAGTTAAGGGTGCTTGGTTGTATGTTGTCATCTTGCAGAACGCTTGTTGAGCAAAACTCAAACTTCTGAAAACCAGGAAATGCAACCTTTAACGTTGCCCTTTTTCAGCATATCCGGACATACATTCACACACTTAAACAACTCCCCAGAAAGAATACCATGTGAGAAACTTAGTCCAAGTCTACACTACGCCAAAAATTCAATTTAAGATATGCAATTCCAGCTATGATTATTGCGTAGCTGGAGTCAACATACCTTAAACTGAGTTTCTGGGGATGCCCCACTATGGGAGGTTGATGGGAGAAACTATCACATCAACTTTCCTTACTCTTCATGACTCCAAGGAGTACTAGGCTCGACGGGAGTGCCCTCAGCGTTTGATTTAGTGGGTCCTTACTAAATCTGCTAAGTCAAACCCCAGAAGATTGACCTCCAGAATTTCTATAGACAAGGCCTTAATTCTTAATAGCCTTTTACAAATTCTTTTACGTTTACTACTAACTGCAACTAGATGCAAATAATGACTATTTGCTACTGCCAGCTCCAGGGCACCAAAGGCATGGTGGCTTGAGCAATTCTTTTTTTCTTTTCCTATTTGTCCTTTAACAGCGTTTGATGGAATCATGCGGCTGAGAGTGAATGGATTGTAAAAGGAGGTAAAGAACTGGAATATTTCAGCAACTGTAAGATTGCAGAGTAATTGAATTTGTTTTACTGGACACTGCTGAAAGAGGGCGAAATTAAGGTCACGTGTACAACCCCAACTCTGCATTTCTAGGTTTTCAAAAATTTGAGTTTTTCTCAACAAGTGTTCTGCAAGGGGACAACATACCACCAAGCAACCTTAACTCTGTGCTAATGTAGGTTTTTTTACTTTAAATATAGTTGGTATGGAAACAGGAAAATAGCAGTGGGAGTACTGCAGTAGTGAAGCACCGTATACCCTCTGTTAGAGGGACTGAATAATAATTATTGTAAGAGCAAACTGACGCAGACAGCTAATATAATAATATAGAGAGATATACTATTTTATAGAACTGGAAGGGATCTTGAGAGGTCATTGAGTCCAGTCCCCTGCCTTCACAGCAGGACCAAGTATCATCCCTGACAGATTTGCCCCAGATGGCCCCCTCAAGGATTGAATTCACAATTCAGGGTTTAGCAGGCCAATGCTCAAACCACTGAGCTATCCCTCAACTAGCATGAGTCTGAGACACACAAGATGACCCTAGCACTGTTAATTCAGCTGAAGGAAACCTGATAAAATAGAATGACTATCTTTATTAAGGATTGCCTATGCCATTAAATATTACTAGATCAGCTCTCAGAGAGAGGTTCAATGTTTGGAGGTTAAGTAGTGTGAGTTTAATATGCCTACAATAGCAGATCCTGAGCCCTGGTCTACTATTAAAATTTAGATTGTCTCTAGATATAGAATGGCCAACAGATATATTATGTCTTAGTCATGTCTTGAGTAAAATAAAAGCTGCTGGTTGGCTAAAATGTGGATCTGATAAGTTTGGTAAGGGGTTCTAGGAACATAAGGAACAATTCTCAACGAACCTATTCATGTGAAAGTCTGTTTAAATGTACCACTGATCAAGATGCTAAAAGGGGAAAAAAAAGTGTTGAAGAGTATGGAATGCTTTACAATTAATTTAAAACTAAAATATGTATAAATGATATCTTCTGTATGATAACAATATCTTGTAATTTTAAAGTTAAATATGGTAAGCTTAAAAGTTAAATTCTAATAGGTTTTAAGAATTTAACATATTTATTTACACCTGAATTTCCAGTTCTATTCATATGTAGATGAGAGTACTAATGTCATTGTAATACTGTCTTGCAGCTAAGTGATGAGGAGGTAAACATTTAATATATTGCTGCTATTTTAAATATTTTTATACCAAGTTGGTTGTATCCCTTGGGGCATATAGTATTCAATAGCTGCTGGCACTGCTTGGTCCATAAATGCATGTGTAATGAAGTAGCTCAGTGTTAAGGACCAACAAAATCAAATATTTCTAAAGTGCATAGCAGCTGGTAGGAAAATGTTTTCTGGGTGTATTAGGATAGTTTTGAAACTAGCTTGCATGCTTTTTGTATTTGCATGTTTCCCTCATTTTTTCTCTGAGGCTATCAATTACCAATAAACATTTAAAAATGTTTTTGATATATTTTTAAAAAATTGCTGTATCTTTTGTTTTAAAAATCTATTGCAAATATAACAAAGAAAGAATGTGTGATATTCCTTTCTCTTTAAATGCTAGTGTGCTGAAATGTTTATTGTTAAAAGTCTCAATATTTTATTTTAATTTATTTTATTTTATTTTTTTACTTATTTATTTAAGGAAATTGAACGGTTACAGAGCTGGTATTTTTCTTTGAAGCTCTTTTTCAAGAATTTACTGAAACATAACAGGAATAAAAATGCAGTCAAAATAGAAATCTAGCAGTTTTATATACTAATATAGGTGACTGAAAATATTTGCATTCTGGACATTACAATAATTTGTTTCCTAGAAAATCCACAAAAGTTTGATGCTTGAGATTCTGTGAAAATGTGTGTAAATGTAGAGTTAGCTATTTTAACCATCCTGTGAAAAGATAAATTGTACTCCTTTACTTACAAATAATTGAAAGAGAAGTGTACCGTTGCTGGTAACTACTAGAAATGTAACAGCTGGAGAGTACAGGAGAGTTTAGCACTAGGAATGTTAGCATATAGTTACGTAAATGATTAGCCGATAAGCCTAGGCTTATCAGTTAATCCTACTGACTACATGCACCCCCCACCCCCTATATCACAGGCAGGGGAAGCAGGAGCCATTGCCCGTGAGGAGCTCGCTTTAAGCAGGCTCCCCACGAGCATCGGATCAGTCTGTTCCCTCACCTCCCACACAGCTGCCTGTGATAGAGAGGCAGAAACATGGAGGGTGAGGAGGGCAGGCTGGAGCAGATACACAAAGGGAGCTGGCTTTCAAGCCAGCCCCCTCCCCGTATGTATTGACTCCCACAGATCCTCCTGTCCCCCCTACAGAGGCAGCGAGTGGGGACAGGCAGGAACCGGTGCTTGGAGGAAGCTGGCTTAAAAGCCTCCCAGTTCTGCGATGCTGCCTGCACCCCAGCTTCTTCCCCACTGCTACTGCCTCTCTGTGTGGGGAAGGGGAAAGGAAGGCGGGGAGGCTGCTATGAAGCAACCACTGTCCACGGGGGGTACGAGCTTCCTGCAGACAAATGCTGCTTCATGGCAGCAGCCCCTGTCCATGGGGGGTCCAGCTCCCTGTGGACAGAGACTGCTCCACATCCTGTGGAGCAGCCTTCTCCACAGACAGGGGCTGTTGCCACTCCACGCTGCTGCCTCTGTATTGGAAATCACAGCGCAGGGCCATGAGCAGCTGGTCTGCTAGGGGAGATGTTTTTAAAACTGGCTCTCATCACGGACAAGGTCTTGCCTGCCACTCCGCGCTGCTACCTCTGATAGAGAGGCAGCAGCACAGGCTGGCAGGGGGCTCCCTGACAGTGGGACTGGGCTGCAGTGGTTGCCAGCTTCACCCCCAGAAACTGTCAAATAATTGTGTAACCGCTAAAATTTCATGTGCTTACACTAGTCAGTTAAATAATATCTAACATCCCTATTTAGCACTATACACCACTGATGTTTAAAATACCTATGGACATAATAAATCAAACACATTTTTTTCTCTGTAGCCTAACAGACTCAAGCAATTTGGTTTGACAGCAAGAGCTTCTGAAGAGAAGGTACCACCTGAAAGGCCCAGAGTAGCCTTCCAAACTCCTGTACCTACTATTTCACCAGTGAATGAAGACTTCCATAGAGGATTATCCAACACCCTTGGTGAAATAGTGGCTCCCAGGTGCTTGTATATAATGTTTATTTTGTGACTGCATATTTGATAAGTTAGTTAAATAGGAATTTTGTGGTTACACAAATTATTACCTTTCAGAACATCTGCAAAGCAGACCATTGGGTGCTTTTCCTTTCCCTCCTAATAACTAGTTCTTTGAGTGCTTGCTCATGTCTATTCCACAGCAGGTGTGCGTGCTTGCTGCATGCACCAGTGCCAGACATTTTCTCCTCAGCAATATCCAGAGGGGAGCAGTTCTGGTGACCCCTGGAATTGTGTCCCCATGGGGCGATATGAGGGGTACCGGGCGTTCCCTCCACTCTTATTTCCTTTTTGCCACCAGTGATGGTGCACAGAATGTTTGCTTCTCTATTGTTGCGTAGGCTTTGTTCAGAGAAACTTTGTAAAGTTGTTGTAAATAGTTTGTGTTTGTACCTTAGCAGTAGTTAGAATGTGTTGGTCCCACCTGGAACTTGACTAGGGGATGGGGCGTGGCCTGGTCCTCTGGATTTATACCCTGCAGTCACTGTAAATGTCCTATATCCGTTAGTGACCTGCACAGTTGCTGTCTTAGGAGTCTGGATGAAGGGCACTTAAGTGATATGGGTTGCACTGTATATTCAAAACAAAGACTAAAAAGGAGCATGAAATTAGACCTAGAGCACTCTTGTTGAAATCGGTGTTCACTTTGGCACTGGAACAGTGGTCTGACTTAGCTCCCCTCACTGTGGCATTGGTGCGCAGCACCTCGCCAGCACCAATCTCCATTTGCGGTTCTGTCCAGGAAAGTTAGTAAGGCCAATAGAGTTGATCTCTTACTCCATGTAAGTGAAAAGACAGGGATGGAGTGAGCTGAGACCTGTGGTAGGCAGCTCACCTCCCCATTTGGGAAGTTGGGCTCAGCTCTTGCTGAGTGGTGCAGTACTTGTCCCTCGCTAGAAACCAGTACACCTTGGACGAGGGCAGGCAGTTGCAGCAGAGCCCTCTCTGCTCTCCAAACTCTGGGCACTGGAAGAAGGAGCTGTGATGGATTTAGCCAGTTACCTGGTACAGTACCTTGGAGGCATGTAGCCCCTGGCATGAGTGTTGGGACCGTCATACGTTGTAGCCCGGCTGATGTTATAGTCCCTGGGAATGTTCAGAGCACAGAAACCATAGAAACCACCTGCTGTCCGTTCCAAAGTCGGATGTCACCACATACCAGGAGGTCCCCCAGCAACCGGCCTATGATATCTCTTGGCCTCTATTCTCCTTCTGGTACTGGTTTCAAAATGCAAGGTATGGTTCGCTGGATTCCCACCCATAGATCTGTTGAGCACTGTTAGTCACTGAGATCCACAAGGCAGTACTTGGCCCATTCAGACTGCTCTTCTAGACATGACCAAGGGCACCACTTCATGCATAGTTGTCATTCCAGTAGATCCTGGTTGCTGAGTACCAACCATTCTGGTACACAGCAGGACTCAATCTCGGTGGAACAGCCTCCCAGACTTTAGGTGCTGACTCTGACGTTGATACCAAAATATTTCCAGTATCCAGTTTTGTGATACCTTGGTACCTTATGGGGATTCACTCAGCCCTCCAAATTTACATGCTCAGTGTCAGGAGTTTTGGATAGGCCAGTGCTCTCAATGACCGATCCCTCTGCAGTGCTTGAAGACTTAGGTGAGACTTCCTCTTAAGTCCATGTGGATGAAGGAGCTCAAACTACTGTACCGCCAGTGGGCACCATGGACCCTGCAATACTGACCTTCTGTTCGTCGTCACTGGATGAGACTATCATGTGTACACCTCACCCTGTTCCTCAGGATAATGCTAAAGCACACCAGGAATGATTGAAGAGGGTTACTGGCAACCTCGGTCTTCAGATGAAGGAATTGGAGGAGCCGACAGACTCCTTGTTTGATGTTCTCTCCTCCCCAGCTCTTACTAGGATCACCCTTTCCCTTACTAAATGGGTGTCAAAAATAAAGATGCCAAGAGGCTGGACTTACCTGGACATAATAAGATTATTTTTCATCTAGCCTGCAACTGAGGGTTATAATCACTAGGCTTTCCTGGGGATGTGACAGGCTGCTGCCAAGTTTGAGAGTGCCCTCCTTGACTCTCATAAGCAGTTCTGGGTGGTCCCAGACGAGGGCGTTGCCACCAGAAGAGTGGCTCTCCAGCATTTGATTATGTGGATTCTGCTGCTCATACCATGGCATCCGCCATGTGGCAAGCATTGTGGCTGCTCCTCTCTGGGTTGTCCATCGAGGATTAGCAGTTGATTCAGGACTTTCCCTTTGATAGCTAGGTTCTGTTTGTGGAGCAGATGGATACCAAATTACATGGGTGAAAGATGCCTGTACAGGCAGTCCCCAACTTACGCGAATCTGACTTACGTCAGATCCGCACTTACGAACGGGGCTTTCTCGCCCCGGAGGTCGAGGTGGCGGATTGCTGCCTGCGAGCTCCGGGGCGAGAGAGCCCCGTTCGTAAGCTGCTCCCGGTGCCCCTGGTCTGCTGGAGACCATCTCCAGCAGACCAGGGGCACCGGGAGCAGCTTAGGTCTCTCGCCCCGGAGCTCGCATGCAGCAATCTGCCACCTTGACCTCCGGGGCGAGAAAGCCCCGTTCGTAAGTGCGGATCCGACGTAGGTCGGATA